GTGACAAGCACTTGGGGACACTCAGAGCCCTCCAGGGTGGTGGCACATCCCTTCCTCTCCCCGTGGGACTCACGGGTTTGGTTCCTGGTGGCTCGGCTGGGGCTGGGGGTGCTGATGGGATCCCCCGTCCAGGGAGGGGTCTCGGTGTCTGTGGTCAGTGTGGACACATCCCTGGAAGCTGTGGTGGGGCCGGTTGTCCCCAGGGGGTCTCCTGTTGTCCCCAGGGGGTCTCCTGTTGTCCCCAGGGGGTCTCCTGTTGTCCCCAGGATGTCATCCTGCCCTGTGAGGCTTTGCTTCCCCGACTCCTCCTCTTGGAAACAGAGAGCTGGGAACGAGGGTTGTTAACCCAGGTCAGTCCTCCCCCGACCACAACTGGGTGAGAAAACGTCACCCCCACATCCCCCCCCAGCTCAGGGTCACTTGGGGATAGAGGTGTGTGGGGTGGGGGGGACGTGGCCTGGAGGGTGAAGGGGTTTGGGGTGGCCACACTTGGGGTCTCCAAGTGCTCCAGGAGGGTTTGGACAACGCTCTGAGCAACAGGGTGGGATCTTTTTTTGGGGGGGGGGGGGTCTGTGCAGGGCCAGGGGTTGGACTCTGTGATCCTTTTGGGTCCCTTCCAGCTCAGGATGCTTTGAGGGGGCTGATGAACACCTGCAGAGCCACCATCCCACATCCTGCCTTGCACCTGAACAGCCCTCCCTGAGATAAACCCCCCCAAAACCAAACCATGAGCCAACGCTGCTGCTGCTGCTGCTGCTGCTGCTCTGGTGGTTTTTGGGGGGAAACTGAGCAGCTCAGGGAGTTGAGCAACCGGTGGCACCACGAGGGGTGGGGGCTGTGCGGTGGGGAAATGGGGGTCCCCGAGCCGAGGATCATAAAATATCCAAAAAAAAAACCCAAAATACCCCGAGTTCTGGACCTTAAAATGACAGAATATCAGAGGGGCAGCCAGAGCTGGGTCACAAAATGCCGAGTTGGGAGGGACTCCCGAGGATCATCCGGGTCCAACTCCCGGCCCCGCACCGGGACACGCCAAAAATCACCCCGTGGTTCCACCAAAAAGCCCAGACAAAACCAAACCTAAGCAAAAAAAAAAAGCTCCACAAGCATCCCTGATGCTGGGCCAGGCGAGGTTTTAGGCCCAGCCCAGTGCTGGGAGAGCTCAGGAGGCCCCCCAAATCCCAGGACCTGAGCTTTGTCCCCCTCCTGCCCCGCTGCAAAGGGAAGGCCCTGGGGGTGTTGCCCCCTCTGTTTTCACGTCACCTCCTCCTCCTCCTCCCCCCAGCCCCACAGAGACCCCCCCCCAGCCCCACTCACCATCCCCAGAGCAGAGCAGGGCGAGGCAGAGCCACCTCGTCCCGAAACCCCTCGGCTCCATCCTCCTCTCCCCCCCCCCCCCCCCCCCCCCCCCCCGCCCCCACTTCCCCCCCCTCTTTTTTTTTTTTTTTTTTTTTTTTTTGGCCCAGCCAACGCTTCCTGTGAGCTCAAAGGTGAAACTGGGCTGATTAACAGCCCCCCTAAAATCAGAGTCGTCTCTGGGAGTGGCAGGGAAAGGGCTGGAGATGGGCAGGGAGGGGGTGATGCTCCAGCAGCTTCCCAGTTCAGGCCCCTCCCTGGAGCCACCACCGCTTTTCTGAGCCCAGTCCAAGCTGATCATTGGAGTCCCAAGGGCAGATTTGGTGCCACGTGGGGCAAATCCCTTGGGAAAACACACAACCCACCCAGGGCTGTGCTTTGAACAGCCTGGTGTGAACTGGAGGAGCCCCAAACCAGTGAAAACATGGAGCAAACCCGAATTCCTCAGATGAGATGCAGACAGGAAGGGAGCTCTGGCATTATTTTTTTTTTATTATTATTATTCCAGAAGCTCCTGGAGGGCTCTCCCCCTTGCCAGGCAGCTTCAAAGGCATCTCCATTTTCATCCCTGAATAATTTACCACGAGGCAAAGAGCAGGAGGAGGGGCAGGTGCAGGAAGAGGATTCCCAGTGAGGTGTCTGGGGGGGGCTCAACCACCAGCTCTGGAAGGTCCCCAAACGTGGAAGAGGCAGCAGCTGTTGGTTGTGAGGGGGGGAAGAAGGTTCAGCTTTTCATGGGTGTTTTTTTCTTTTTTTTTTTTTCAGATCTTCCTTTTGCAAATGAAGAAGCCGAAGAGAGCAGGTGTGAAAGTTAAAAAAAAAAGCAAAATGGCAACGTAACAAAACAATCAGGAGGGACTTTTCCACGAACAGTTGGAAGGGGCTGCCTGGGGAGGTCACCAGTCCTGGAGGTGTCCAAGGAATGACTGGAGGAGGCACTCAGATAGGTTTTTTTTGGGTTTGTGTTGTTTTCAACTCGTTCAGGTTGGGAAAACGCTTCCAA